CTTTTAAACCATGCATTCATGGTGAATGATTATCAGCAGGCTTTGAAGGGAGTGACCACTGGCTTTACGTAGACACGCTCAAGCCGTTCCCAGCTGGTCATCTGGTCGAGGATTGTCAAACGAAAATGCCAAAATTCGTTTTTATTCATTTATTAATCAGTATACAATTTAAGATACAGAGATTCTAATCTTCGTAATTGGGTAGAAGTTTTTGGTTGGATAAAGAGAAGGTAAGAGCAGTAAGAAGAGGTAATGTTCTAAGGCGTAATGGATACGAATAAGAAGTACAATATAATTCTTTTACCATTCATTTTTATTAACTTGCAAAATTACCTTAGTTGTCTACTCATGCACAGATAAAATATATAAATAAAAATGTAGATAAATGGTGAACGTGAGTCTATAAATCGAGTTGTGTTTAAGCACGCGCTCGTGATTAAATCAAGACTTCGATTCAACCGCGAGGAACGGTCGTTCTCCTTCGTCTCTTCCTCCGAAAAAAATCAGACGAAAGATATCGTTTGAGTGACGATGCCTCGATTCAACAAACCCCGTTAACAGATCGCTGGAACAGTGATAAACCTATCATAGAATAATGAATAAATATAACAATCGAAAACATGGCCAAATGCAGTGACGAATAATATAATATAATATAATATAATATAATATAATATAATATAATATAATATAACCAGATCTGCTTTCTCGTCCATCTTTCATAAAATTCTACCAAGAGATATGCACATATATATACATATTACGTATGGTAAAAAAAATCATAACGAGCTATATAAAAGATACAATTGTTTAAGTGTTAATAGTTACATCTTTGGACAGTGAACGTAATCGATGAATCGCGAAAACAAGTCTATTCTCTGAGCGCGAAAACACAGTAGAGAAATGAAGATTATAAAATGGTAAACGTGTGTAAACTCCTTATTTAGGGATTCGTGTGATCGTTTGTTCATTTTTTCTCTTCTTCGAACGATTCGTCTCCCCCGTCGTCTATAAAATATCGAACGATAGCCCAAATTCGCCAAATAAAAGGTCGGGTAGATATATTTAAAGAATACGACGAAATTCACGAACTCGATTTTGCACAAGAGGACTTCCTTCGGAAAATGAGTGTTCGTATCGTTCCCTCTTCATCTGACAATCGTGAAAATTCGTCGGCGTAAAGGAAGGTCATGATAACGCGAAATTTTCGAGAAACGATTTCAAAAACGGACGAAACACCGTGCATACGCACGAGCAACAGCAACAAGAACAATAATAATGTCTCATGGGTATAAAGCACCGTGTCATTTTTAACGTAATATTTTTATATGGGTATGAAGTTTTATGGTTCTGCGGTCTTCGATATGTCTTCGCTTATCCTCTATGTTACGAAACATTCTCGAAAGCTCAAGGATTCGAGACAAGTGGTTTTCGAAACGATCCGTTAGACTCGGAGGTTAAATATAGACAGGATAGGTATCCTTTACGACAATGAATTTTCCACCTATACCGTTCAAATTGCTAACAATTCAGCTCCAACCCGAAAGTACCTAAAATTAGATAGCCACCTCGCATGGTCTTCGTTTATGTGAATTATAGCACACATTTCGACTAGAGTATTATTATATGTATATGTATACGTAGTTAAAATTAAATCTCGGAGACGAAATTAAATATATACATTCCAACAGTCTTGGCAGTTCAAGCGAATCCCTGATTGTACCCTGATACTCGAACGCAATTAGAAATCAATGATATTACGGTTCGTACGTAATTACCATTTAATAGAACAACGATGCAATAGAATACGCGCGGAAATAAAATCTAACGAGCAATCAGATTTAACAGTAACAATTGAAAACATGCTCGAAAGAGACGTGAGAAAATAACAGGGTACAACTTGATATTTTTCGTGTTGTCTCCAATAACGCAAATCAGGATTAAGTCGAGCCGCGTTTTTAAGAGCTCTTAGCTACGGCAGTAAACACGTCCAACAAAATCTCATCATACACTTTTCAACGCTTGTTTCTAAACGCATTGTATAATACGTCGTCCACGGTGTTTCACCGAATAAAAAGAATCTAAAAATAGAATCTTCCAGCATTCTTTAAGCCATAACGATTACTTAACAAACAATTAAAAGTACATAGAATCTCTATCGCTTGATTAAAATAATTAATAAAGGACAGAGAAGAGAACGAAATTAGATGTTCAGAATGCATCGTTTAGAGAAGTACGCTATAAAGCAACTTTCAACTAAATTTACAAAAAGAAGCTACGTCCATTGGACGTTCAACAATAAGAGAGTACATGATTCCAACGATTCTTTCAAGCCACGATGTTTCATCGCGCACAGTAGAGTCTGTGTTCACTGTTTCCCTTTGTCTCTCCCATTCTTTTACCTCCGCGCCGAAGGTAACGGAACACCTCTCGATCTTTGGCTTGTTTTCACCATTTCCGCAAGCAAGTATATCCGCGAACTCGTGGAAAAGAAACGGCAATTGTACAATCGTAGAATATAACGACTGAGAAAAAAAGCGTACTCGCTTCACGAGTACCGTACTGGGTCGCGAACCAGCTCCCTGTCACGATTCCACTCGATCCCCTCGAACAACGTTTCTCTTGCGTGTCGTACATCGCTTTTCGTACGGTGCAACATTATAGCTCGCAAGACGATTACAGAGGGGCGACAGCACCCCTTCGTTTATGAATTCCACGACGACGACGACTCTTCCAACGAGCACTTTCCACTTGTTGCAGCCTCGAACTGTGAGAATACTAACGTGCACTGTAGGGTTCGTGGAATTCCATTTTCACCATTGCCTAAAAAATAATTTTCCCTTCTGGCTAGAAAAAAGCTATTCGTTAGGATGAATGGCCTGAGAACCGACCGATTGAATTTCTCCTGAAAATTCTTATAGCTACGCTTCGGTTTCCTCTTATAAACGGCTGCACCAATCGAAAGACCCGCATTTCCTATTTGTTTTTTTCAAGTGAACTTTCTCTCTCGCTTTAAGTAAAAATAAGGGTCCGTGATTTGCTGTCTATTTACAACGTGTCAAATACACAGTATGTATATCGATAGAGAGATTGAACAATGACGCTTGCGTATCACACAACGTACCATGGCCCGACGCTTTCTCCCGACTCGTTCATAATTTACGTATCGACTCGATGATACCGAAGCTTCTCCTCTAACGGACCCCAAAACCATTCCGTTTCAACGATATTGCTCTAATTATCCTTCTACTCGAGTAGAGAGTCGAACGAGTTTCCTGAACGTGTTTGTACTTTGCTGATAAGATTGAAGCACGGTCACCGAACGGATACGTAAACCGAGATTCATAAAATCCAACGAGAATCGGTTTGCCACGACGTACTGTTCGCCAAGCGGTTACACGACAGTCTTACTATATATGAAAAACTACGCTTTCAGACTACTAAACTGTCCCCGGAGATGAGGTTTTCCGTTTTACGTTTCAATTATCACTCTCAGCGTAATCGTCGCTATCGCTACTGTCATAATATTGGTTCCTCGACTGTTGACGAACGGAATCCGATTGTCCGATCGCAGGCAGATCGTCGGAGAATCCTTGAGACTGGTCTGTGCAGCGAAGCATGTCCACAGATTCTCCATCGAGATTTTCCAGGTTCTCGGAAAACACGAAGGACTGTCTCGCTGCCGGATCATTCGACCTACGAAACAAACAAACGTTCTGGTCACAATTGAAATAACACGTCGTATTTGTTAGTAGCTCAACTGCTTCTACGATGAAAGGTAAACAGAATTAAAAGACGATGCACGTCGGGGATTTCAGTGGGAGCGAAAACATACTTAGAAAGCCAAACGGTTGCGAAAAGAATCGCGCGATCGAACATTTGAAATTCAATCCCCGAATCATTTCGTACAAGTGAATATTTTTCTTACGAATTTCAATAGCATTAATTATAGTCTCAAGGCGGATCAGTAGTTTAAGCTTGTTCCATCGTTCGTTTAAAACATGATTCAACCGCACGGAGGAAAAAAAAAATAACGCGCTCTCTAATTCGATTGATGCATTATGCATACGCAAGCGTCGTGCATCACTAATACCATGCGATTCTGGTTTCGTTTACTTACTGAGCTGCAGATGATGGTTACATTTCATCATCACACAGCCTGCAACAAACATACGCATACTATTGTCATTACTTGTCGCAAAGTACAAGATAAAATTGTTAGATCCCGCAGCGTACTATCTAATACGATCACGCATGCCACAATTCGAAAGCCATGAGGTTCCACTTCATGGTAAGCGAGGAACCTTTACGAAAACTAGAACGTTATTCAGTTCTTCTTAAACAGACCCAATTTCGCTTAAATCTCTCAATTCTATGAACAGTATGCAATATTAATAAACACCGATGCCCGTTAGTAGATAACGAAAGCGATATTTTTATACTTATGAAAGAGAGTGAATCAATAAAAATATAGCTTGTTCGATTTACGGCCGATTTCTCCGCGGCCAATTAAAATCCTTTTTCTATTTAATAACGTTGATTGAACAGACAGCTTTATACTATAATACATTATTTTTTAATAGGATTAGTAAACATCTCGTACGACAATTGTTATTGACTCACCGTGTACGATATGAATTAATCGCGAACGAGACGTGTATGTTAAATAGGAAATAGATACTCACATTTGTTCGTTCTGTTCGTTACCACTCTCCTCGGTGACCAACAATTCGTATTCCTCTGCCGCGAATCGATCCCAATCCGACAGCTGTTAGAAGCAAAGCGATAATAGATATCAATGAAACTGCATCCAAATAAACAGCTGTTTCTCGTCCTACTTTATACTATTCATTGCCTTACCTCGTGACCATCGGGATCGTGTTCCCTAGCAGACGCGAACGGATCCCTCTGCTCGTGATCCAGGTACTTCTCGAGATTGAAGAAGGTGTCGAAGAAGATCGACGTCATTTTGCACTTCTTCAAATCGCTCAGAGAAATCTTCCCCGGTGTCGTCGGTTTTATCATGTCCAACATCTAACGTAAAAAATTTATAAAACGTTTCTGGTCGTCGGTTAAAAATGATGGATTTCAGACTGAAATTTTATTACGCGCAGAGTTTATATTTTCTGTACATTAAATTTGTGTTTCTGATCTAGTAATAGTATCCGTCGTTTGACTCACCTGGCAGAGACAATCTTCGAAGGGTAACGTCTCCAGTCCGATCGCCTCCATACGATGTAACTGTTCCTCGTAGAAATATTCCAACTCGTACATCGACAAATATCCGTCCCCGTCGAGATCCATGCACCTGTGGATCACACCGAATGAGACACGCGTTCATCGTTCACACGAAATGTTCGAAGGATCGCGCGTAATACCTGAACCAATATTCGATAGCGGTTGGATGATTTTTATCCTCCTCGCTCAACAGGAACCAGACGAATTCCGTGTAGCTCATCTTGTCTTGGGGTTGTTGAACGCCGTTCCCGGTTTTCACCCCGCCTCTGGTTACTGCGCCGCTGAATATTCTCGCGATCATGCGTTTCGACAGAGCTGTAATTTCCGATCGTTCGAAAAAATGCCCCAACGAAACTGAATAGAACGGAGTTTTGGAATCCTACAATCCTCACCGTGATCGTTGTGTTTGGTCAGGTCTGTCTTGTCGATGAAGAGATCGTGATCCCGGTCGAGTTCCCAGAATTTGCAATAAATAACGTAGAAATGCTCGTAACTGAAGTATGCGGTCACCTGATTAATATCCTCCTCGTGCTCGAGGATCGCGATCACCGATAACAAATTGCTCCTTCTCAGTTCCGCCACGGAAATCCGACCGCTCCAGCTTCGATTCACGCAGTAGAATATCCTGGCGATTACCTGCAGAATTCATCGAACAGGAATCGTAATTAGAATCCGTCGACGTTAAATATGCAAATACTATAGAGGGTAATATAATTTTCCATTTAGACATTCAGAAAAATTTTGTGTGTTTTCTTACGGTTACGCTTTAATAGCGAAAACGAGAGGAATACAGCGTGCAAACATTTATCGCCTTAGGTACGAACCGTGTGTACGTAGCGTGAATGGAACTCAGTAGCCTCTTTGAGGAAAGTTAAACCGGGATGAGTCTCCACCACGTCTTGCACCAACGGGATCAGATCCTCCGGCAGTATACAGTTCCTCTGGCCGCGCGTTGTGATTCTAATAAACTTGCTCGCGGCGTCGTGGTGGGTGTTCGATATTCTGCGAACAATCGAGTCCACGATTTCGGTAAAACAAATCTTCAATAGAACGTACGAGAGATCGGGATCGCTTACTCTGTCCAAAAATCGAGGAACGCGTTCATCTCGACGTAGCCGGTCTGGTCTCCACCGGCCGCGAGGAAAACCGGGACCTTCCAGTAGAGCGGCAAGTCGCATGCCTGCAAGACAAATCATACCCTTTGTATGCAGCTGGCTCGAGCGAACAGTTCGCCACGAGTTACAACTTTCCCACGTGAAGTACCGCGGCTGCCCACGTGAGAAACGCGTCGAATGGTAAAGATCAAATCATCAGATCTCTATATGAAAAAGCTAACGAAAGGGAAATCTGATCGTTCGTAAAAAAAAGATTATCTTTTCTCGGGGACTGGGTAAACGTTGCAAATACTGTTCGATATTTCGCGCGGTTCGCTCCGCGTTTACCTTTGTAATTGTATGGAACTGAGTTCGGGACGCGCGATGACCAGGCAGGCTCTGAAAAGCGGCGGTGATCCTCGCGATTGTTGCATCGATCTGTGACAAGGGCAAGGGTTTCCCTCCGGGGAAGTAAAATCTGCAATTACCCGGTAGAAAATTCTTGTTAATACCCAACGGTGGTCGAACGCCGCGTCCAATGTAGCATTATACGGTTTGAATCAACGTTTAGTGTTTACCGTGGTATGTGAACGTTTCTGTTCGCTTTCACGTGCCTCTGGAGTGTCGTGTGCGGCGGCAAGCTCTTTTGCTGTGTCTTGTCTTTCGCGTACGTCTAGAACCAACAAGCATCGTTCCGGGCAAACTGATTTCGTTCGTGAACAGTGCCAAAAATCGCAGCCCGTTCCCCCCGTCCGCTGTGTACATTCACGATCGATCGTTCCCGGAAACACGGCTGCGATTCGTTCATTGTAAAGTGTACCGAGATCGCTTGATAAACTTCGATCGAAGCATGTCGCAACGTTCGAACGCATTTTTTTTTTTACTGCCTACTATAAAAGTGTCGTTCAATATAAAAATCCACGGTCTGGCGGTGAAGCATACAAAGACTGAGAGGGTATCTTCCTTTATTGCATTGGTTCATTTGTTACATAAGTACGCATCGTTGTGACAGGGTATACGATCGTGAATCTGATTGCTCGAGCTTCCGGTTACGGTTCTCCGATGTATCTGATCGATCGCGTTCGTTACGAGCCGTAACGATTTCACGGTTGTTCGATAGATACTCCGCTCCAGGGCGAAGGTGTCGTTGTATCAAGGACACGACATCCTGTTACGCGACGCCAAGGATCCGAAGAATGCAAAGAGGCCGGCCAACGCGGCTAATGCATCGCCTCGCCCATGTGCCTCTTATTACATCACGAGCTACTCCGCTATACCTGCCGCTGACGCGGGACCGAGCGAGCACTTTTCCACGCGCCAGTTGTTGATCGACCATGTTTTCTCAAGAGGAATATGTATCCTCGAGGAAGGAACGAGATATTTGCAAACTTCCAAATATTTAACCGGCGATGGTGTCGGGAGTAAAATATCCCAGAAATAGTAACAAGGGCAACGGCAGTAGCGAGAGAAAATACTGCGAGCAATAAAAATAGCGGCAGAGCTTCTTCCACGGAATTCGTTTAAGCAAGATCAATAATGCAACACCGTAGCTGCGGGCTGAAAACGAGGCAACGTCCTCGCTCGAGTAATCGAACTACAACCACCGATACCCTACGATCGAATATATTAAAGATAAATTGACGAACCGAGAACCAGAGACAAGCTACGAATTTAATAGATATCTTTTAAATGTCTGTGGGATCTTCTGAATGAACGTGGAACTTTATTCATCTCTTGAGAGGAGAGAAGTCCCGCGAGCCTTTAACTATTCACTTAATTTCAATTAATTTGATAAAAGCGAAACGCGTACAGCCGAGAAAATGAGAAACCAGCGAGAAAAGTGGAAAAGAAAGTCCGAGAGAAAAAGTGGAAAAGCATTGAGCAGCCACAGAAAAGATGTTTCAAGGAACAAGCTGAAGTCTCGCAAATGGATCGAATTCGTTTAACGTCGATAGATCAACCGAAACTGGCAGTCGCGATTATTGTGACCTTACTTTGGCACGGTCCAACGAGCGACACACGGGATACCGTCAATCAGCATTTCAATTGAAATTGCGAATTCGACTGCGCCTCCTCTCGATAGAGCCTCTACTCCTACGAGGACCACTTCCGATACTAAATACTTGACCTTCGCCTTTTGTATCGAGGCTTCGAGTAATTTTCATTCGATGCGGATCGAAGAACAGAAATGGCCGGGTAAACATTTTAAATTAATTGAAATTGGCCGAATGGGAACGAAGCATTTCACTGAGAACTTCATTAAAGAAAATCGCGAGATGCGCCAAGTAGTCGTTCATCCATTGAGAATTTTATCAAATTAAATCTGGTTTTCCTTGCGTTGCAGATATCGAATTGAAATTGAAATCAGGGTGTTTAAGGGGCCTTACCAGTGTGAAACTTAAAAAAAATCGAATTTGTTTTTTGCATTTTTCAATAGTTTATACCTTCAAAAATATCATACTAAAATTTCAAGCTCGGATCTCAAGTTGAGGCACTTTTTTTTGGCGTCTTGGGAGATAGTGCATAACTTGGTCGCCTTTAGTTCTTTTTGTAAGAAAAAATTATTTTGCACAATTCATTTATAGGCAAATACATCCATAAAGTTTAAAAAAATTCCACAGAATACTATTCTTAAAAAAAATTCTCATAAATGACTTAAATTTTTGGCGGTCATACTAGAAAGGCCCTTTAAGCGCAATGTTACAGTTTCGTTTCGACCAATGAAAAATTTGAAACTCCGCAATTCACGTGTCACCGGGATGAACGGTAACGCGTTTTCTTCCTGGTTCCCATTATTGTAATGAGCGTCGGCCACGGTGCGCAGTGAACTTTCCCGGCGGATTTTCAGCCATAAGCGGCGATAGCGGGGCGAGTCTCGCTGCTCCAAGGCGACAGTCGACGGCCTTTTGAAATCTAGCACGATACCATCCGATATGGAACGGCCACAATGACTCAGTGAGCGACGTGCAATATTCACCGAGAGAACCGATTTCTCGCCAAGGGCGCGCACCAAACTTTTTCCTATTTTTCCATTGCCACCGATCTCACGCTCCCGCGTCTTCTCGTTTCTCTATACGAAGGCAACACGCGCAATACCGTCATCTTTCCGAACGGGAATTTTAATTACCCGATACCTGGAACGTTGCTCGTGATCGCCTTAAGCTGTTCACCTATCCTTCCATTAATCGCAGACTGTCAACGATTTCGATGAAACGAATTATTCAACCGGTTATCCACTTGTAGCCTCGTATCACTGCGTATCGTTATGACCGGAGGAGCATCCCAGTAATTCCGACGAATATCTCACAACGTGCAACTACGATACGTAACGGTGGTATGGTACAAAGCTACGATACGAGCGATACCATTCGAATGAATCATTCGCGTCGAGTTTCATTGTCAATTCGATTTTCATGAGGAAACAGTTAATGAAAACGCGAGTGGGCCACCCCCCCGCGATAAGTAACGACATTAAGAACTGAAGTGTTATTTAAACGAGAGCTGCCAGTTTCTCCACTTACAGTCACGGTGGTCTGCTTTATTCCTCTCCCCGAGATTGAGTAAACCGATTAATCTTAACATAGAAATTCTAAAACCTTTATTGCTATAATTGTAAAATCTGAAGATTTATTGATACAATTATATAATTTGTGGGTTTATTTATAGATTGTAAAGAAGCAAATGTTTTACAACGCAGGTTCTTTCAACTTTGTTATCTTTAGAAATTTAACATCTGTGATTAATGGAAGGTAATTTAACATCTGATTTATATTGCAAAAATTACGGTAACTGAGCGAATGCTTCCTGGAGATAATTGGAGGCATAGCCTACTCGATAATAATGTTAAGTGATGTTAAAAAAATCGAGCGAACGATTCAACGCCGTGTCCCAGTCTGTCGATTAAATTGATCATTGCGACATTCCTTTATCTTTTCTACGACTAGTTTTAAACGATCGATCTAACCAGAAGCGAAAACAGCGCGCAATTCTGTCGGTCCCAAGGGTAAGAAAATAATATCTGGCTTCGATAAACGGTAACACACGACTTCCGATCGATTCCCACATCCAAGTATAGAATTTCTAACGATTCCGACGATTAAGGATGTATTGGTTATACAGTCAATACGAAAAGTTTATGTACCTTAGAAAAACGCATTTCCTATAATTGAGAAGAAATCGGACTTGGAAGAACAATGATTTTGGATTAAAAAAGTTTACTTGTTTACGTTCAATTGGTTTCTAAACAATAAAAATTGATAGAATTTGTTATATTGTTTATATAAGTAC